TAGTAAGTTTTTCGTGGACTGTCGCTGTCCTTTAGTATTTGTTGCTATGGTCATGATATGTTCTGTCTTTATCCGTATAATATGATTTTGTATTGCCTCATAGTAACAGAACCTTTCCATAGGGGAAAAAGTGTTAGTGTTCTATCACGTGTTTTGAAAGACATGTCTGTATGAATATCTTTGTTGTACCTGTGTATTGCAAATTCATGCTACAATGCCTTTAAATTGTCCGTTTATAAATTTAAAAGTTATCGTGAAACTAAGGTTTGAACTGCCTCCGGAAAAGTTGTCCTTAGATAGATTTGGCTAATATTTTTATGATACTTTGGGTAATATAGGCCTTCAATTGCTTCGGTTCTTCTACGTCCTTTCAAATATTTGGCTTTGTGCGTTCTTGGTGAAGTTCATCCAGAAAAGACCTTCGGACGCATAAAATATAAAAAGTGTTTCTTCTTTCAATTTTCTTATTCGGTTTATCAATTTCGAGAGTTCCATTGAAAAAAGATAACGCCATTGATAAGCCCGATACAAGTGCTTATATTTATAACACTGGGAAAAAAATACAATATACTGTTACAAGGGTTATCACTTCATATTCTAGAATTAAAATGATTTCATGCAAAAAAAGGTAACTAATATTCCGCATCACAAAATGTTTATCATTTACAGAAAATATTTTTAAATCTGTTACAAAATAACACAAGCCATCTCAGTACGCCTATGACAAAAGAATCAGGTTTCAATAGGATTGCAAATGAGACCAAATGGCAAGGATGTAAACATCTACACAAATTAGACTTATCAACGCGTTTGTACTTACATTAGCAACAAGACGGGTGCCATATGTGGAGCAGGATGTACTTACCCTTCTGGAGCAAATGAGATCACCGACTGTTTTGGTGGGGTTCGTGTTATTCAGTCTTTAGTTTTCTTTTCTGTGTTTTGTGTACTGTTTGTCTTTTGTTCGTTTTTCGTTTTTTGCCATGATATTTTTGAATGTCCCTTTGCAGTCGAATTGAACGTTAGCTCTATTCAAGGCACAATTCGTAGAGTACACGCAAGTAACCATTATTCGTCAATAATACCAATCTACTAGAGGTTGAAACAGACAATAAGAATACAAATCATGTAAAAATTATGATAGAACAGGAAATTTGCATATGCAGGACCCGAACACAAGAATTTTACAGAATAAGCATATTTTTACTGAATAGAAGAAATGGCATAAACAATTACAGAATACAGAAATGATGACCCCCACGGGCTCTCCTTTATAAGCAAAACAAGGCAAACAATACTATTGGAATAGCATATAAAAAATTGCAATCTTAATAATGTCAAACTGGAATGAATTGAAACATTTTTTGAAAGATGGTGCATTGTTTTGTCTCTCCTTTTACCATTCAACTATTAAAAAAAGGTATTGAGAAAAATGTTAAGATTGTTTTTCATGGCCAATAATGTGGTTTTGTCGATATATATTCTGTGTGGTGATAGATTGCTTGTCAATTTTTCATGTTGTACCGAAACATTTCCATTAAAAATTGGTTATTTCAACTATCAAAGTAAGTCTAACAATCTAACAATTTCTACGATTGTTCGTTTTATTTCTCTTTCTAATAAACCCAGCAATAAGTTTTTCCCTCGTACATTGTTTTATATTTGTCACTTTGTTTTTGGTAACAGGAATGTATGATCATATATATTAAATTCTATTCTGTTACCGATGATCACCGATAGCAGTATTGGATCTTTTGTGTTCTAACTTGCGAAGATAAAGACTCTGTAACCTTTAATTAAGTTCAAAAGACCAAACATTTTATTATGTGTAAATAAATTTGTAAGTATATACTTTTTGATGACTTTTCAGTAAAATATTGTTTATTATGTTACTGCAGCCATAGTAACAGGATAGTCATAACAGGGCATCCAAAATGCTTTTTTTATGAATGCTGATGTTCAATAACTTACTCTGTGATAATGTGTTCTTCTGTGATCTTGATTTCAAACACGTAACTACACTTTTTACAAGTATAATATTGTCATTAATAATCTGATTGTAACACGAAGACGGGATAAAAGGGTACGCACTTAGTTTTCTCACTTAAATTTTCTTTTCTCTACACTGTTATGCAAGACGCGTGCCGTGATCAAATTCTAGGATGCTGTGTGCTTTTGAAAATCATCAATTTATAGTTCGATATTCATAGAAAAAACTATTTAACGGTTGGTCTAGTATCTGAAACAGGATAGACATGCATTTCGTGTATACATGCCTATTGAATTTAGTTTGTAGAAAAAATGATACATAAAATAAGAAAAAAACTGTGATTGTTAGTTAGAGTTATCATAAACATTCTAAAATAGTTCATGCTGCAGATTTTAAGGCAATCAGAAAACAGGAAAAAAATCCCCTGAAAGATGTTACCCTGACACTACACACATAAATTACGCAAACGCCTGTCTTATACATATTGTATATATTTTAATCTCTAAATTGTGTTTATCAAGTTAATCATTGATGTTTAAACTCATAAATCCTACACATTTTCATTTAATCACCTACAAATGCATTTTCTGTCAATGATAAATTTCTTATCATAGGTGTACTAAAAATATGACATTTTTGTATTTCTAAATCAAATCTATTTTCTGTTCTGGTATTTTCTACCAAAGCCAATGAAATTCATGCCTACAAATTTTTGAAGGTATGTATAAGCAAAACAAGAGGATTCTGAAAGATACTTAAAACAGAGAGCCTTATGGATCATTCTCGGATCCTTGTAAGCAAAGCGTGGACATATGATCTGTAGTTTATTAGGTTATAAAGGTATCATTCTTGGCTGTTAAACATGGAATTTAAATCTATTGTACTGGTTGTATTGTACAATCTAATTCATTATTAGCATTATTGAAAATCAATGTTTTGGTATTTTTTTAATTTTAAAGATATGTAATTTAAATCATATACTATTTAAGAGAAGGAACTCCTTACAGTGAAAAGGAGTAACAAATCCTGGCGAGCTTGCGTCTATAAATTTCTGTCGAGATGCTCGCGAGAAATGTTTGTATTTTGCGCGACAATGTGTATTCAAAGCACAAAGTCGTATGCACTGAAATCGCTATTAGATATTCACTTTATTTTGTCTTTCAGTTCTATGTTTTTGATTTAAACAGCGACTAGAACACACCATATTGTTTAAGTGGTATGTTCATGTACATTATTGGTGGGAGAGGAAAAGGGGGGGGGGGGATGGTGAAAGTCTGGATCGACTATTAATCTATAATTGATAAAGATTACTCTTAAAATCTAATGAATGCAATACAAACACATTATTAGATCAACTGATTTTTATTTATGTTCTAGACTTTGGTATTTTATTTGTTATTTGCCATGTTTTCTTATATGACGAAATAAAGGATGTCTGTGTTTTTTCTTGTTGCAATGGCCGTGTTGACCCTTAGTGGTTGTCCTTGGTTCAGCTAAAGTTGTTTGTTCAGGTGAAGTTGTTTGTTTTGATTTAGTTATTGGTTCAACTGTTGTTGTTCTTGATTCAGCAGCAGTTGTTATTGGTTTAACTGTTGCGTAATTGGTTTAACTGTTTCGTGATTGGTTCATCTGTTGTCGTTATTGGTTCAGTGGTAGTTGTTATTGGTTCATCTGTTGTCGATTTGGTTTAGCGGTAAATGATATTCGTTCAGCGGTTGTTGTTATTGGTTCATCTGTTATCGTTTTGAGTATACGGCTGTTCTCGTTATCGGTTCAGTCTTTTTATTTTTTTTTATCTGTTGTCGTTTTTGGTTCAGCTGTTGTATTTGTTGTTCGTTTGGATAGATGTCTGATTGACAATCAAACCACATCTCCTTCTGGTGTATTATTATTCAGTTATTTGTTTTATATTCGTGTACATATCTGGTGGATAGTTGCGTCATTAAAGATCATACCACACTCTTTTCCCAAACATATTCAATGTTATTGGGCAGGCACATAAACATAAACTGAGACTGAAATATTTATTTTTCTGAACATTAAGTCCTACCACCAAATCCGCAATCCGATCAATTGAGTCATTCAAGAATTTACAAGGAAACAATTCTGTTCTGACGGACACAGCAACGACTATATTATGCTCCTAAAAAAAATTTCTCGGAGCATGAAAAGAAATCGAGACTACTACTGACATGGTTAGATATCTTTGAATAGACACATTCTAATTTGGTGTCCAACCAGTTTTGTGGATGGATGCACGTTCTACAACACTGATTGTACTCTGCGACATTTTAAAGTAAAGACACTAGTCAGTGTTTGGGATTTGATTTATCAACTGCAACTCTCCGTTAATTTAGTAGGCATAGATATTGACAGTTGTTTACATTTTAGACATTGATGTTAGAATTGCTCGTGCTGATCATAATTAAACAAATCTTTATTTTGGATAACCAGTTCTTTGAGCACTTACACCCTCTCCATGTAATCGGGATCAGTAGGTACCAAATCATACAGAGGGACAAAGGAAATTCTTGTCACTTAAAATCAGACCAAGAAAAGATGAGATATGACATCTATATTGACAATAAAGTTACAGCTACAAGTAGACCATTACATGAACCTCATATATATATATATTAAGAAAAAAGCCCCTCTTCTTAGAAATGAAAATTCGACATTAAGAGACAAAAATCAAGATTCTAGCTCAGGAGTCAATATATTTGTATTTATCAATCATAAACCGAAGTTATTTAGCTCTGTTTTTTTTTCCCCTTTTCACAACAATATTCTATTTTCATTTATTTGTATCAGTTCTTGTCCTTTCCAAATGATACACTAGTTTCAACATTCTTTTACGCATATACAAGTTTGACTCTTTTTCATTTTTAATAATTAGAAACCAAAAAAAAATGACAAGAATTGATCAGTCCACTGCATCAGCCAAACAATGTCCAGGGAGCTCTTTATTTAACAATCGATTCCTTAAATAATAACGAAAAAGCAAATGAACTATAGTTACATTAGATACTTTAATCAAATGCAGTTAATTATAATCTTCGCAGCATCATCACCGAGATTTTCAGTGAGTAGTTTATTCCTTTCCAAGTTCGCCAGTAAACACCGCGGTGTTCCATGGCTGGTGTTCTGATGAAATAAACGCCATTCAGGTTAGCCGTCATGCACCTGTTATACCACCATCCCCCAGGGAACCAAGTCGAACAATTTCCACTCGAAGCATTATCGTTATCGTTGTCTCTGGTAGAAAAACTAATGCCATTATGGTGTTCCAAACTGTTACCTATAAACAGATTATAAAAATACCAATGAAAGAACATACATCTGTACCGCATCTCCTTATTTTTTTATATACACGGAAATTAAGCATCTGTGTTCTAGCGAGAGGTCTTTCATTATATGAATAACACATAGCTGAGGGGGTAATAGGGCAGATTGTAACCCTGACTTTACTATCGCTATTTAAAAAAACGGTCAAAACGTACGCGCGTGACGTCGCACAAGAAAATCCTGATCTTCAGAGGGAAATATGATGAACAGAGGGGAATATGAAGTTTTTGTTCAATGTCACGTGGGATAGTCTCAACCAATCAAATATTGATAAGCTATCAATATGTACATTCAGTGGAATAATCTGTTGTATTGTCTTTTAACTATCAAATTGAAAGTAATAAACTATGACGTCATTGTTTCTGGCGTCCATTATTTCTATTTTGATCGTCGCAACTGATAGAAAAGCAATAGAATGTTATACAAGTATATATGACAACACCTTTTCCATAGACTTGATAACGTATCAATCAACAATTCTTAACTTACTTTTTTTCTTAATACTGTGCTTGGTAAGAAGCGCTTGCGGTAATGTTTTATTGCAGTTTTTAATACACCGTTTTCAATAGACTACATTTGTATTTTGTAACCGATAATAAAAAGGAAAAAAAAAAAACATGGCAACTTTTAATCATTCGCTAAAATAATCTTACACAATAAAAATAATTTACCAAGTTGACATGATTTGCAACTGACAGTTAATGAAGAAAATTATATTAAAGTGAATTATTCATAAGGATTGCTCCTGACAAATTAACCCACAAACATTACATAAAAATCCTTTTTGTATTCGTTTGTTCATTAAATATTTAACCCCTCAAAAATATATTCATAACTGTAGTTTCATTTTTTTCTGGTAGTGTATAATACTTAACAAGTGCTGTGCTACAGGGACGATTATCGGCCCAAAGTCGTACTCCTTACAGTGCCAAAGGGTCATTTATTCAATGGTCAAACCAAATGGTTTGATTATCAGATTGTATGTTTAAATTGATAATAATTTTTTTTATTTTGGAATCCAAAGAAAGTACCTGCAGTGCCGTAGTATCCATTTGCAGTCAGTTTGAACTTTGAACTTTCAGCACCTATTTTGAAATCTTTATATTTTGCAAATGCGTGGTTTCCCTCAAAGTCTGTTAGGTCTATTCTCATTTCGTACTGTCCATGGGATGTGAGAAAATGCATCTTTGTATTTCCTGTAAAAAATAAACTTCATTCAAATGTTATGTGATTATTCTCATATTTAAATTCCTACACTGATAATTTGTGGGGCTTATTATTCCTAAGACTTGAAATGGATTGAAGTGGAAAAAAATTAAACAAGTTGCAAATATCAATAAAATCAGAGAATACTATAACACATCATGTATTATAATAGTAAAATCAATCAAAATATAGGACGATCATCTATATCCAAAAAAATTGCTTTCTTGAAGTATTGTACATTTTATTGAAACGTTTTAATTTGATTTCTTCCAAAAGTGTAGCTCAAAAATACAAAACATTATCGGTACGTTTATTTTGGAAAAGCTTAAGGTTATTGTGATTTTTACAAAAGTATAATAAAAAAAAAATACATGATATGCATAACTGCAAAACAAATTCGAAATATTTATATGTTTTGAAAGCGTACAATTCTTTTCACAGCATTCCGTAGTTATCTATATGTAGCTATCAATTTAAGTAAAATGGGTTTGACTTTAATTTAATCGCGACAACAACCGATTAACTCCATTTCAATCAAAGCGTGTCTTTATTTAAAACTGAAAAAATATAAAATTTTATCAATTTTGGGAATGATATTAAGAAAAGCTTACCGAGCCAGAATTCATGTTTGAGGTATCCAAAACCATGTTTGTAGTCATTCCATCCTCGAAGGAAATCAACATACCCATTTTCTCGTCTTTGGAAAACCTGATATAATTTTTGAGTATTTTTCTTATATATTTGTTTTTATTTTAATAAAATTGGTTGTTAAAACATTTGTTTATTTTTTGATACGATCAAGTATAATAATAATAATCCCATCTATCCGAACGTTTTATCAGACGGCGGGTTTTGCGCCTATTAAAAAGTTTTACCCGGCCACATTCTAAGTGCTAGTACCAAGTCAAAAGCCTATTAATCGTTGGTTGTTGTAATTTGCTGTTTGCACTGGTACTTGTATTTTGATTTTATGCTGTTATAGTACTAATCAGGCCATTGTTTTCCCTTTAAATGGTTCATATCTTATTATCCCGAGTAAGGAAAAAAAACGAAGAAAAAACCCCAAAACAGAACAAAACAAAACAAAACAAAACAAAAGAGCTAATTATTTACAAATAAACGTAAGTTATTCTTTGTGAATAGCTACTGTAGTTATTTTTTTTATATTTTTGCTTCAATCATGTTGCATATAATGTATATTCCTTACGATTCAACTACTAACAAAAAAAATCAAATATGAAAAAATAAAAATCTTAACAAAACAAGAAAAAATTAACTACGTTTATTTCGAACAGTACGGTCTAATTAGATAATCAAAAGCTTACTGTCCAGTGTCCTCCATCTATTTTCATTTCGCAATAGACTTCAAATCCAGTTGAGTGTCTCGGGTAAACTTTATATACACCATTTGGACACCAATCTGGAATATCGTTGCAGTCACGTGGTCGTCCCCCTAGAAAGTATAAAATCAAAACGACTTATACAATACTAATGTGGTCGATATATTAAGGATTACTTAATCCTAGACATAAAATTGAGAATAGAAAAGGGGAATGTGTCAAAGAGACAACAACTCGACCAATCAGCAGAATAAAGCCAAACACACAGCAGTACGCGCAGTGTTAAACTCAGTTTAAAAGAAGTCCGAGTCCGATGTTAGAATAAGTAACAGAAGAAACTAAGCAAAATGACAATGATCATTATAAATTAACAAAGTACTACTAGCAATTACTGACATGTCAGCTCCAGACCTCAATTAAACTGATTGAAAGATTATGTCTTCATCATATGAAAATTAAGCACAATCCCTCCGGTTAGGGGTTAAGTATCATACCATCATAAAATATATGAGAAGAACATAACCCGTTTCATGCCAACGACTGGTTTTAGAATAAATATGTTTATTTTCGATGCAAAGACCCTATGAGTGAATCAATATTAATACCAACATATGCTATCTTTAATGAAATGACAACAGTATCGTAACTATAACCCTTCTGAATAAGTCTGTTTAAAGGATTGGTTAGCTTTTGAGGTGAATGACGACATTTTTGTGCTTTGTATAGAATATTACCATAAAAGATGAGATTTGAAATACCTGAACGTATAAGATGTCTGCATGTTGATTTATATTTACGAATGATGCCCTTGTACCGATGATAAAATTTAGTAAATGTTTTGACATGTTTGTGATATCGAAAACCCTGGTGTAATAATGTTGCTGTAATACAGAGATTTCGTTCGTTGAAAATCAAATATATACGTTGTTACATACACGGGCGATTCGAACAAGTTGAGATATATAAATGCCATAAGGTTGGTGACAAGGGAACGTCACCATTTAAAAATGGATAATTAACAATATGAAATGAAAATTGATCTCTTTTATCGTAAATTTTAGTATTAAGCTTCCCGTTGAAGATATAGATATCAAAATAAAGGAACGGACAGTGTTCATTGTTAGTATTAGCTTGATTTAAAGTCAGTTCAGCTGGATAAATCTCTTTAGTGTACATAATGAAGTCGTCATTATTGAGAGCCAATAAAGCATCCAAATATCTAAAAGTGTTATTAATTTTTTTATATCAGATGTGGTTACGATGGGTCATAAATTGTAACTCGTAACAATACAGAAACAGGTCCGCAATAAGTGATGCACAGTTAGTCAACATTGGAATTCCGATAACTTGACGATATCAGGATACTCTACAGCGAACCAAAATGATATCTAGTAAAAATGCAAGTGTAGTTATCGTATCAAAGCAGGTCCAATTGACATAGTTCTTTTATTTGTAGCTACTGAAAAATGACCTAAAAGTGTTTGAACATATATATTCGTATTCTGATTTTTAAATGCCCATTAAATTAGGTATATTCTTTTTTTTCATAATGAGATTATGATCGAGGCAGAGTGGTTTATACGTAGAAAAATCAAAACTTTGAGCAGGTTCTTTATATGAATTTGATTTAGATATAAAAGAAGATGTGGTATGATTACCAATGATACAACTCTCCGCTAGAGATCAAATGACTCAGAAATTAACAACTATAGATCACGTAGATGCATGTTTTTGATTTTCATTAATGAACCATTTCATAAATAGTAACGGTATACATTATGCAAATGTTCAAAGAAAAGTTGCTCTTAAAATAGCAATTTCTTTTGTTTAATTGTAATATCCCTTTGAATTATATTTCTAAGCAAGCAACTCCGCTTGATTCGTGTTTTATATAGAAATTACTTTCTTACTATGACATTTTGGATCCCAATCAGTCTTTGCCAATACCAGTATTCTCTCAGCAGCCTCTCCATAAAAACACACGCCTGTATGATAAACAAACACAGAAATAAATACTCGCATTTACAGATAAATAAACAAAATAATTGTTAAATTAATAGTATAATTAATCATTGGTATTACTGCCTGCTCTAACTTATCAATCATAATTGATGTAATAGACAGTTTTGAAATTGTGAGAAAATACAGTAACAATAGTGAGAATAATCCAGTCTATTTTTTCGCTAATTTTGATTTGTTTTCAATCTATTAATAGGATAAATAAATTGTGTTATGTCATACAAGGTATATGTAAAAATCAATACGTACTATGTATGTATCATAAACCTATCAATGTGTATTGCATAATGAATTATCGTCGATATTGCTGCAAACGTTGGTCGATATTCAAGTCTCCAATACCTTGATATATTTGCGTATACTTGATTTCGATGTTTTATTTTTAAATATACGTTAAATACATTTAAAAACAAAAAATTTTAGTAAATACAATTTTGAAAAAACAAACGAAAATCCAACAGCCAAGGTATAAGGTTGATCTTAAACGGGTTAAGTCGACTGATTCAATTTACCGATTGTTTCCTACAATGTATTTCCTATTGTGTCATATTATTCAAAAAATTTGAGTGGTTGCATGATTTATGATCTTATTAATAGATTGAAAACGATTCATAGCAGACGTTTTCTCTATCGACATACTAGGCTCGCTTGTTATAGAGTTCCTGCTATTTTCTTGTTTTGCATAATTTCAAATTAATATACTAGAAATAATTTAGAACATCGTCAAAGTTCTGTTGACCATACACATAATCAAAATCATTGACGTACTCAGTGTCAAACTTTCAAATTTCTTTTGCGTCGTCAAATGTTCAAAACCCATTAACCAGCTAGAACATATATACACTAAACAAAGATACAGTTTAATTGTTCAAAAAATGTATGTAGCAAACTACATATCAGTATGCATTGTTTTTGCTTTGAACCAAAAGAATTAAAAACAAAGAACAGTCACATTATTAAAATGATAAACTGATAAATACTGAATAAGCCTCACCTGTATGACACGAAGACTCAACGCAATGGTGGCGACTTGAATTAGTGTGTAGCTTTGCCTTTCCAAAAAGGCAAACCACAGTGAACAGTGCAGCAAAAATCATAATGCTTTCGTATGTGGTGGAGGAAAACTATTGCTCAGAACAATCGCTGCAGAATCATTACTTTTTCATTTCTAAAGTATATGCTTCGTGTGTGGCAGATGTTTGTTAATATCAATATTGCGTGATTGGATATGTTTTGCATGTTATACAGTTGCAACTATATCGTTGAAGAAAACCTAATTTTTTTTAGTTTCTGAATTCACTGATTTAAATACGATAAAGACCCGTATCTTAAAAACGATGAAATATTTGAATCCAACACCAGTTTAAAACAAAATGAATTCCCTGAATGCAACGCGATTATCGTGAATACAATGCATTAACTGAATTAAACACCAGTAGCTTAAGACGAATGGTCGACATAAGAAATATAGCCATGCAGAATCGCGAAATTTATTTAACTTGTGTTGCTTACCCATTTTTAGTTTTTATACCCTCACCGGCTCAGAATAGTGTAAGAGAGTGCAAATATGCTAAATAGATTGATTGATTATTAATGTTTATCACCACTTTCAGCGAATTGAATGCTATATGTAGTAAGGTCAATGTTTGAATTATCTATACCAATCCAACTACACAATGATAGAATACTATAAATACGTCTATGTAACAAGTTAATGAACGCTGACTTATAAAAATTAAAAAAAAAAAATTATAGCAATATACTGTCTCATTGGAATGTATTCCCCCCAAACCCAACCCCCCAAATCCCCCATAATGTTACAAGAGATACAAAAATGTAGCTACTTATACAACACATGTTTAATTATTTTTTGTAAATGGTTATAAAACATTCACTATACATTTTGAACATTCTTTGTCTTTGCATGTGAATACTATAATTCTAAAAAAATCTTTCTGTTTGACTTTAATTACAACATGTAACTGCATTATCAACAAATTTAATTACGCTTAGGAAAGGGGTGTTTTTATTGAATAAACTGTTAATTGTCCGAGCTTGCCTGACGCGACAAATTTCGGCGCGGGACGTTTGCGCATTTTGATAGGACATTTGCACTTTAAAAAAGGACATTTGCGCTTTATCAACATAACATATGAGTTATTATGGTAAAAAAGTTTAAAAAGCCATTTAATATTAAAAACACAAAACATTCAATTATTTATATACAGCTAAAAGAATCAACCTTTCCCCACCATGCTTGTGTCAGATGAAAACGACAACACTTCAAGAGGGTGGATGAAAGTAAAACAACCACGACTCTTTCTAAAGTCAACATGTACAGTAGGTGGTTTAAAAATCAGCACAAATTGAAATTAACAAGCTGATATAAACTATGATGGTACAGTTCCATGCAACAGAATGGACACAAGAGGAATATAGTTTCCCATTTTAAATCCATGAATAATACATCTTCTTGGAGAATTTAGGGCAAAATTGAAAAGTTAAAAGTTCCATCCATAAAAGTTTCGTTTACCCAGAAACATATACTTGATTTTTTTATTATACGTCTGGTTTAACTGAATAATTTTTCTGATTTTTTCGTTTGTTCGGAAGAACTAGAACAAAGGATATGTGAACCTCTTTCCGTGACTTTGGTAAATTTTGTTAAGATTACAGGTAAACTATCATATTAGGTAAAAAGTGCAAATGTCCCTTGACAAGGGTACAGGACGTTTGCGCTTTTTTACCTGTAACACGATAGGACATTTGCGCTCCAAACACTATGGACATTTGCTCTCCAAACAATATGGACATTTGCGCTTTGAATTTTGATACACATATATAAAATTGACCGGACATATGCGCTTTTCACCTATAGTCGTCTACCTAAGAGGGACGACAGATACCAGAGGGACAGTTAAACTCACAGATCGAAAACAAACTAACAACGCCATGGCCAAAAATAAAAGACAAACAGACAAATAATAGTACAGATGACACAACATAGAAAACTAAAGACTAAGCAACACGAACCCCACCAAAAACTGGGGGTGATCTCAAGTGCTCCGGAAGGGTATACTTAGCAGATCCTGCTCCACATGTGGCACCCGTCGTGTTGCTTATGTTATTACAAATCCGGTAAATTGTCTAATTCGGTAGGTCACATTCGTGAAAAGGGAAGGGTATTGTAGTTACTACATATGGAACATATCCGATATCATATGTGAAACGGTTATTCCATAACGGTCAACCAACTCATGATGGCGTCCGTAAAATTTACGAAGGAATGATTTCAACTTTATCATTTGGAACTCTTAGTTTAATAGCTTCCTTGTGAGCAGCAATCCTCTAATACGGAAATCATGATAGGAAATGCAAGCCCGTGAATATCGTATCAATTGGGAGATATATACTCCGTATGCAGGCGCTGCTGGAATGTTGCTACATAGAAATGGAAAGTTCACAATTGGGAAGTTGAAATCATCTCTTTTGTCGTAAAGTTTTGTTTTCAACCGACCCTCATTGTCAATTTCTAGATGTAAGTCAAGATATGAGGCAGACTTAACTGTATCTGTAGTATCATTTATCTCTAGTTCGATGGGATAGATTCGTTCAACATAGTCACCAAATTTTGTATTATTTAGTGAGAGAACATCATCTATATAGCGGAACGTAAAGTTAAAGGATATTGCTAACTTCTTATCTTTCTTCCTAAGAAGTTCCTGTATGAAGTCAGCCTCATAATAATAAAGAAACAAGTCAGCAAGAAGAAGGGGCACAATTGGTTCCCATTGGAATTCCGACAGTCTGTTGAAAAACACGTCCTCCAAACAAATATGTTATCAATCAAGAAGTCAAGCATCTTGATAATGTCAGTTTCAGAGAATTTTTTGTTTGAATCAGAGTGATTCTTTACAAAGTAGGATTTATCCCTCCCCATAACAAGATACTTGTATCTACGTTCGCCATTCTTTTTAATGAAACAAAGTAATACCAACTCTTTCAATTTGTCCTTTAGTTTGGAATGGGGAATACTTGTGTAAAGTGTAGAAAAGTCAAATGTTTTAATACTATTGCAAGATGAGAGAGTCTTAGATTGTATGTACTCTAAAAGATCTGTCTTTGGTAATTTGATGCGCTGTAATCATTATGTATACAAATTCAACTTATATTTGTCATTAGTTAATTCACATTGACACAGTCTTAAACAAATAGTTGAAAGTTATAGAGACTAGTAAGGGGCAAAATTGTATATGACTTTTGTCACGATGGATTTATATCATTGAACAACAGTCGGTTATTTATATTAAAATTCGTTATATTGTTTAACAGGAACCACATGCAAGAATTGAGAAAGATAAACTAGAATATTTATTATAAATGTGGGCGAAATACCAGTCAGGACAGATTGCAAGAGCTAAATTTGTTGAACAGTTCATTATTTAGCCTTCAGCGAAAACTGACCTGGTAAGACTATACATTGTACGTGTATTTTATGTCTTTAGCCTAAATGTTTACTATATAACTATATGTGCTATGGAATGACTTTTAAACACGAATGTGCTATGAAATGACGATTAAATTTTTAACGATAAAGAAAAGTATGACTTTGACTCTGCTAGGTCAAACCTGCCTGTCCTAAGTCCGGATCAAATATGAGGGAAGTCATTAGAAGCAAATATTATAAAAGCTTTTAGTGTTATTTTTATCATATGTCGTCACTATGTTTGCTGCAGAAGTTTTGGGTAAATATATGATTACATATATGGAAGGGGATATTAGGTCACTAGTATTCAATCATCAACCATTTAAGCATTTTACCTCTTTAAAAGGGCCATACTACGTAATGATCATAATGATCCTGTCATTCGTTATTCTTCTGTCTTTGATCTCTTTTCACAGATGATAGTTTATTGTAATAAATTTAGTCGGTGTTTGAATTTGTGTTCACAATACTTCTTGCAGGAAATCCAACCTTGAAATATTGTAGCGTGTAGTAGAGGTAAATTTGCGTCTAGAAATGATACCTCGAATGTTTATTTTTTGCGTAGAAAAGTGTGTAGGCACCTTTTCGCTGTTGATAATCTTGCTATACCTACGGCGATTTTCACAATTATATGAAGGAGTCTCAACTAATAAAATTAGTTTTGTTTCAGATTTTTTGCGTAAGCCAGTTTTCAAAATACAGCTGTGGCTTATCTAAGAATGTTCCTTGTAGTACCGAGCACATTTCGACCCTATTTTTACATTAAGTCCCGTCTTTTCATGATTTCAAGTAAGAGGTTGGATGATCGACTGTGTTGGTTTAATTGTGTATTTATTTTTATGACATTCACAGATACATGGTATAAAAAGATAAAGGGGATGTCAACTGTTTTAACCACACCACATTTTGCTCCAGCACAAATTTATAGGTAAAAAAAAAAGAACGATGGAAAGACAAACAGCAGTTTGCAAAACTCAAAGAAACAAGTTGCCAGGTAATAAACACAAAAATGAATCATGATAATTTAAAATATAGTACAAACCGGTAGATTCGACAGAAAAAATAGGACCGGTATGTAAAAATGTATTTCTTATGGGGAGAAAAAAATACGTTAAGTCTTTTTTTTTATTAAATAAAGTAGGACGTTTAAAAGTGAACATGTCAAAACTAGTCTGGAAATAGTTGGTCTCTCGGGGACCACAAACTTGCTATTGCCAGTATACAAGAGTATAATTTTTCTTGTACAACAAGAATGTGAAATGTATCATTTTAAGAATACTGAGATGAGGTATGCTTACCCATGCGAAACTATCCAACCTAGTCCAAATTACGTGGATTTACGCAATAATAGGTCGACGTTCGGCCTTCAATAATGAGCAAAATCCATACCGTATGATTCGTTCTTAAAGTCATAACATACAGCAACCAATGAAAACCACTGAATTATACAAATTGTAAAGACCATTCGGAATTTAAGAAAGTTCAAATCAAATTAAACTTATAAATTAATCATGTTAGTTCTCATTTTCAGTCTGAGAAAACCATGACCTTGTGAAAGCCAAAAAAAAAAACAGAAAGAAAAATTAAGTATAAATCTTTAACGTATTGACAGGAGGTAGGACCATAAGATTTCAAAACTGTATAGCAATACATAGTAAAATGCAATCCAGTATT